ATATCAATTTATTTGAATAGTAATTTTATTTTGTCCTTGGCTGTTAAGAAGCCATGTTTCCTGGGCACTGTCTTAGATTTTCTTATAGAGGTAAACAACACCAGATATGTAGCCCTCCTCCTTCTCTGACACGGCTCTCTCCCATTCTTCCACCTCAGTCACATCCACACAAATCCACAGTCCCTCTTCTTCCATCTGCTTCAGCTCATGGTCCAGGGCGCCTTTGTATTCCAGATTGCCAATGTTAGTCCTGGTCGTCATGCAAACGTAGCCACCTAGTGGATACAGGCGACAGTGTGGCGTTGCTGTTGAAGGATTAAAACTCAACCTGCTGAGCAGTGGGAGATACCGACACAACAGAAACAAAAATCTCACCTGGTTTAGTGACTCTGCAGAGATCTCTGACCACAGCCACTGGGGCGTGACCACCACACAGCGCTCCAGAGATCAGAACCACATCAAATGAATCCGCTGGACGAGAAGGAGGGAAGCAGAAGAAGAGTTCATTATGAGATAAATATGTCTTTAACTACTGATAATGCTAAAGTCTTGTTTTTTTCCCCAAAAACAACTGAAGTCGATCAGACAACAACAAAACAACCACAACTTGTAGTGCATTTCCCCTATTTTACCTAATTATAGTTTTTATTATTGTATTGGGAGGCCATGCTTAAATTCCTGTCACACATTTAGAGTTTATTTTCCATTATAACTGACTTTTTGTTAATTTTCCAGTATTTTTACTTGCGTGTATTTGTCAAGCACTTTGTAACATTGTTTTAGAAGTGCTATGAACGGCAGCACCACAAATACTGGATAAAACAGTGGTCAATGAACCATTAATGCACCATTAAATTACCCCACTGGTCAGGCAGGGGCTCCTCGCCCAGCATCGACTGCTTCAGCTCCTGGTACAACCCAGTCTCTCTGGCAATCTCCAGCATCGGCTCGCATGCATCAAGACCCACAAATCGTCCAAATCCATGTCTCTTCATCTGTACAACAGAGACTGGTTGTTAGTCACACAGGTCAATTGAATGTATTGAATTTCGAGACGTTCTTTGGAAAAGTCCTTTGGCAAATACCATAGAATGTATTTCTGTGTCAAGACTAGTTTGTTCTCAGTCTTGTGAGTTTACCTGTTTGGCCAGTAGTCCTGTCCCACAAGCCACATCCAACAAGACTGCTTTTTCCCGGTCACCGCTGAAATGGTTGGAGATGCAGTTTGCTGCGAGAGTTGGTGCACGGTATTCAAGAATAGCCACATCCTATAAAAAAATAACTTTGAATTAAGAACAGAGGCTTTGAGTGCACAAGAGAAAAATACACATGCACAGATATCATTTACTACTATCAGATATACATAATGCCACATAATGATGTA